GGCTACACAGAGAAACTCTGTCTCGAAAAACTATCAACAAAAAAAAGTCTGTACTTCTGAGGGCTTTTGAAGGATCTGCTATGAGAAGAAGTAAGAGAATGGACCGTGGGGACAACTAACGGAGGGGAAGCCAGTGCCGACGCTCTGAGTTGAGCAGGCCTGAGGAGCCAGAGCAGAGCGAGGCAGGGCACTGCGGACCGGACCCGGGAGGTGTGCGTCCAGAGGCAGTGCCATAGGGACAGCCTAGAGCATCGCCGTCTCTGCCTCCCGAGTGCGGGGATGACGGGTGTGCACCACTGTGCCTGGCTCAGTGAGGGCTCTGTGCATGCTGAGGCACACACTTAACTGACTGAGCCTAGCCCAGCCCTTGTTCTTAGCCCGGGAAGCATCTGGAAGGAGGGGGAGGATTCCGGTGTTCCTTCCCCACTCCCAATCCTCCCCTCTCTCCACAGGTCAAGCCCTTATTCAGCTTGTCACGGAACCCTGCTGCCCAGGCATCCTCCGCTCACGCAGCCCCTCAGACGTATGCTGAGTATGCTATTGCTCAGCCTCCAGGAGGGGCTGGGGCCGCAGTGCCCACAGGCTCTGAACCTGCGACGGGAGAGAACCCCAGCCAGACCCTGAAGACAGGAGCAAAATCCAATACCATCATCGTGAGCCCGCGGCAGGTGAGAGTGGGAGATGGGGTGCTGGGGTTCTGATGGGAAACCCTGTTCCTGGGGTTGGTTGGGAGTGGTGGGAGGAGGGCTGAGGTTCACGCGCCCCGTTTATTCACCCCTCCCTCCTACGTTTATCACTTTTCATTAATTCCTGCATTCATTCAAATATACATCCCTTCATTCATTCAGTCATTCATTTATTCCTTCCTGTAGATACAACACCATTCATGCATTCGTCGATGGGCTTGTGGGTTCAGGGCGCCCCAGCCCTCCCTGCTAAGGCTGTCACTCTGGTTAGACAGCTCGGCTCCTGTCCCAGGTCTGTTCCTGTCCTCAGAACCTGTAGTGAGAACCTCTAGTCACTGAAATGCTGCTCAAGCTATGTAGCCCAGGCTGGACTCAAACTCAGAGACTTCCCTGTCTCTGCCTCCGAGGAGTGGGATTGAAGGCATGTGCCACCACCCTCAGCCGCCCACCATGCTTTAAAATGAAGGATTTTGATGCCTGTGGTAGCTTGAAATGAATTCCTTTGTGCATTCATTCATTCCTTTTTATGTTCATTCCTTCCTTCCTTCCTCCCTGCACTAACTCTTCCGTTCATTTAATGCCCAGTGTGCCATGGCCTGGGAAGGGCACAGCCCGGAGTGTCTACACCCCAGCCCTCCGGGAATGCCAGGCTACAGGGAAGCTTCCGAACTCAGTCCTTGTGGGTTATGGTAGAATTAGGACACAGGCTTGGATAGATGCCATCCCTAGCTATCGGTGAACCTTGAGCTCTCTTCTGTGGAGGTGGGGGTGGGGCAGACAATCCCAACCCTGAATTCTTAGCATGGGTCCCCTGAGTCTGTTCTGGGCCAACTAGGAGGCACTGTGAGTCACCCAGGAGAACACAAGGTGTTCCCTTCCCTCGGGAGTCCCTCGGGCCTTAGGAAGTCCATGCTAGATGCTATCTGTGAGTCAGGAAATTCCAGACGTCTCAAGAATCTAGGTCAGGGGGCGTGTAGCAGACGGTGCACAAGGCTTCAGGAGAGCCCTATCTGGAACTGGGACCAGAGTCCAGGTGACCATAAGAACCTGAGCCTGGCCTGGTCACTGCTGTGTCCCCAGTGTAGGGACAGTGTGTGCTCTCTGAGTGTTCCCAGATGGGTTGGAGCCTGGGCCGCCTGAGCACTCTCAGTCTTGGGCTATTGACAGTGTTCTCAGGGGAGCAGAGAAGGAGACCGGAGAGGGGCCTCTGCCCTCTGGGGCACTGGGGAGCCCTGGCAGATCTTAGATGATGCCTCTGATTACATTATCTGTAAGGTGGCCTCTGGTAGTGTGATGGTGGCCTCAGCCAGGAGGTGCTGTGGTGGTGGAGGATGAGTATGGGTGGACAAGGCCCAGATTCCACCAGAGAAGTAGGGAGGACAATGTAGGACTGGCTTGTGGCACTGAGGTGGGACCCTCCCTGGGGGGAGGGGCAGGTGTGGATGTTGCTAAGGTTGCAGTGAGGGCTGGTGGCCAGCAGACAGCAGGATGGATTGATACTAGGACAGAAGCTAAAGCGGGCAGGGGGACTATGGCAAAGGCCTGGCGACAGGGAGGGCTAACATTCAGATTCCAGGCTGAGGAGTGTGGGAAGAGAATCTGGAAAAGACCCAGGAACTGGTGGAGCTTAGGGCGGGAAGAGGTAGGGGAGGGCCCAGCCTCCACCTTAGTCCAAGGATCATCCCCATAAGTGACTTCTGCCGTTCTCCCTTGGCAGAGGGGCAACCCCGTGTTGAAATTTGTGCGCAATGTGCCCTGGGAATTCGGTGAGGTGGTTCCTGATTACGTGCTGGGCCAGAGCACCTGCGCCCTTTTCCTCAGGTGAGCCCTTGGTGCTCTGAAGGGGGTGGGGGGTCCTGCCCCACTACCTTGGCATTTTGAGTATTGAGTGGGAAACGTGGGGTTCAGTGTTGTGAGCTCTGAGCCTGTGCATGGCTGTGTTGAAGAAGTGGCTGTGGCCTACAGTTACCGACACAAGAGTAGCTGGGGCTGGACCCTGGGTCTGAGGAACGCAAGCTGGGGCCTAGGCTTCCGTATCTGAGGGAGGAGGTCTGGGTCTGTATTTTTGAGTCTGAGGGAGAAGGGCTGGTCCCCAATTTGAGGGAAGAAGCCGAGTGTCCAGTGCCCATCAATACTGCAGCTGGCTGCTGTTCCCTGTCATGACCCTTCCTAGAAGTCCATCCCAGTCAGTTGACTTCCCTGGGCCTCTGGCAAGGCTGTCACCTTTGCTGTCCTAATGGGTCCCAACCCTCTGGATGCCAGTAAGGTATATAAGGATATCTGAAGCCTCTGGGACATCAAGACCCTCAACTTGTCCCCTTCCCCGTCTCCACCAGCCTCCGCTACCACAACCTCCATCCAGACTACATCCACGAACGGCTGCAGAGCCTGGGGAAGAACTTTGCCCTGCGTGTGCTACTGGTCCAAGTGGATGTGGTAAGTGGGGCTGCTGTGCTGGCCTCGCTCTGTCCATCAGGACATGAACTCATGCGTGGGCTGATGAATCCCTTTAAGACAAAGTGGCTTAGGACCTCAGTGAGGAATGGGTTTTCACTGAAGCTAAAATTGCCCCGGGTCTCTCAGAAAGCCTGTGTGGGCTGGGAGGTGTGTGTGTGTGTGCGCGTGCGTGTGTGCACGATTGTGTGTATTTGTGTGCGTGCACATGTGAACTTGTATGTGTGTGTGTGCACGAGCACACGCGCATAGGAGTGAGCACATATACTCAGAAGTCAGAGGGCAACTTTTGGGGGTTGGTTCTATTCCTGTGTGGATCTTGGGAATCGGATCAAGTGCTCAGTTTTGAAGCCCCGCGCTGTCACCTACTAAGAGGAGAGATGCCTGTGAGGCCCTGCACACCCTCTGTGATTTTTTTGGGGGGGGGGTGTTTGGGGGTAGAGACAGGGTTTGTCACCGGGGCCTGGGGCACCACACCCAGCTTTTTATCCTGGGGACTGAGCTCAGTTCCTTGTGGCTTTATGGACATTGCCGTCTCTCTCCCCAGCTCAGCTGTCAGGTTCCCACGCTGTAAATCCCTGCTTACGACCAGGTCTCTACTTCTCACTTTCTTCTCTTCCAGAAAGATCCGCAGAAGGCTCTTAAAGAGCTGGCTAAGATGTGCATCTTGGCTGACTGCACCCTAATCCTGGCCTGGAGGTGAGACATAGCCCTCCACTCTCACCCCCATGCCCCGCCACAGCCAAGGCAGCCTGTGTAGTGGTAGGGGTTCCTAAGCCAGGCATGGTGACACAAACCTATAATCCTGCACTGGGAAGTCCAAGGTCAGGGCAGGTCAAAAGTTCAAGGCCAGCCTGGGCTAATAGGCTGAGACAGGAGGATCATTAATTCAAAGCCAGGCAGGGATATATAGTGAGAGTTTGTGGTGGTAGAAGGAACTGAAGAAGGGAGTAGGGGGGCGTGGCTCAGCGGTAGAGCCCCGCCTAGAATCCCCCAGTGAGGGGCTGGGGGCGTGGCTCAGTGGGAGAATGTCTAGCATGTACAATATCATGGGTTCCATCCCCAGCATGGACAAAATAATAAATGTATGAGAAGCCACCTCACAGGGCTCCCTGCTGAGGACAGGAGTCAGGGCTGGGATTGGACTAGCTTTTGTTTGAAGGAGACTCCTGAAAGATAGCCTTCTCATCTGGCTCACACGTGTTCTGTTCCCCAGTGCAGAGGAAGCAGGGCGGTACCTGGAGACCTACAAGGTCTATGAGCAGAAGCCCGCCGACCTCCTTATGGAAAAACTGGAACAGAACTTCCTGTCCCGGGTGAGACTGTACCTCCTGGTTCTCTAATGGCTTCTGGGTTGAGCTTGGTCCTTTGCACAGTAAGTCCCTGCACCATGAGGCCCTCCTTCCCTGTCCAGTCCTCCCGTATCTCCTCCCACCAGCTCAAAGGGTCTTTTAAGTGCAGACCAGACCCTGCCTCCCCCAGCTCTGACCCCTAGCCTGCCCTCAGCATCTATGATCCTGTTCTCTCTGCTGGAATCCGTATTTCCCAGGCCGGCTCTGATGCCTCCTCCTCCAGGAAGCCCTCCTTCATCAGCTCAGCCTAGTAGCCCAGAGTTCCATCCTGACCCTGCTGTGACTGTAGCACCCCCCAGCACTTAGTGGCTACTTCCGGATGTTATTTTGTAAATGAATTGATGTTTTTCAGCTGTAAAGAGGGACTCTCAGTCTTTCTGGGTGTCCTGGGTGCTAGAAAGTGAACTTGGGTCCTCTGGAAGGGCCGGATGGATCTGTAATGGCGGAGCCATCTCTTCAGCCTCACTTTGTTTCTGAAGACAATGTCCCCCCAGGCCTAGAGGCCTGAGTCTGGCTATGGACCAGGCTGGCCTCAAACCTGTGGGAATGCCCTAGCACCTGCTTTCTAAGTACTAGACTCACAACTGCCCCTATGCCCAGCTCCAAGAAAATACCCTCTTTCCCTTCCAGGCCACTGAGTGTCTGACCACCGTGAAATCTGTGAACAAGACCGACAGCCAGACACTCCTGGCTACATTTGGAGTAAGAGGCCCACTGGGAGTCCCCTCCTGACCTTCCCATGGCCCACCCCCTGGGGTCCCCTACAGCCGGGACAGGTAAGGGTTTAGGGCACACTGCCCTGAGCTCGAATCTGCCTTTCAGTCCCTGGAACAGCTTATCACTGCATCAAAGGAGGATCTAGCCTTGTGCCCGGGCCTGGGCCCCCAGAAGGTAAGAATTCTAGGGGATGCTACAGGGGTTAGGGTACAGGAACGAACCCCAAATCAATGGACCTTACACTCTGAAGTTGTATTAAGTAGCTGTTGTTTTTAGACAGGGTCTTACTTTTCATAGCTCTAGCTGGCCTGGATCTCACTATAGACCAGGCTGGGCCTGAACTCAGCTCTGCCGCTGACTTCTGCTAAGATCACAGGCCTAAGCCTCCATGCTTGTTTTAAAAGACTCCATGTCAGGCTGGGACCATGTAGCCGAGCTGGTAGAGTGCTTGCTTGGCATGCGCAAAGCCATGATGGCTCTGATGCCAGTACTGGCTGCACTAAGCGTGATGAGCATGCTCACAGCAGCCATGTAAGGTGGGAGGATCAAAGGCTGAGTTCAAAGCCATCCTCGGCTAAACAGCTAGCCAGGCCAGCCCAGGATGCTTGACCCAGTGTCTCAGAAGTAAGACTTCTGTTGGTTTGTTTTATTTATTTTAATGTAGCTGAGGTTGGCCTTGCACTTCTGATCCTCCTGCCTCAGCCTCCCAAGTGCTGGGATTAAAGGTGAGCGCCACCACTGCCCGGCTGATGGACTAGTGTTGAGGTCCATTTATATCCACCTCCTGGCCAGCCTCCAGTAGACCCCAGACACCCGAAGCTCTCAACCAGGAGAATAAGAGGCAGAACCCCACACCAAACAGCAGGCACACAGCACCTTTAATGACGAGTCCTCTTCTCCTCTTCCCCTCAGGCCCGCAGGCTCTTTGAAGTACTACATGAACCCTTCCTCAAAGTGCCTCGATGACCCGCTGCCACCGATGCCCAGTGTCACAATAAAGCATTTGCATGCCCAGGCCCTTGTGGATGTGCACGTTTGCTGATTTCTAATCTCAGCCCTGCAAGTTTCCCCCCTTTCCCCCTCCCCAGGGACTTGTGATGGCTCCTGCTCAAGTTCCCTCTTCTGTTTCTCCTGTCCCGTAGGAGACAGCTCTCAGTGGGGAACAGTGTCCTGTACCCCACTTTCCTGATCCTTCTTTTTCTTCTTCTTGGGGGATTTTTGACTGGCCCTGGGCTCTGGTTCCTCGGATTGTCTTGGGTCAGTCACCTCAGACTCTGTTGCTTTCTGTCCTCTCTCTTTTTTCTTGCTGGGTGCTAGAGCCCCCTGGGGCTCAAAGGCAGCCTCTGTCACCTCTGCCTCGTCCACCCACTTTTCCTTTTTCTTCTTTGTCTTCTTGGGGGACTTAGGAGCTACTTCATCCTGAAGCCCATGTTCTGAAAGTTCAGTCTCCATGAGCACTCCAGGGAGTCCCATCTCTGCCTCCCTCACCAAATTCTGTCTCTTTTCTTTTCTCCTCCTCTTTGTAGGGGACAGTAGGATGGTTTCCTCATGGGGTTCCACAGTGACCTGTGGCTGAGAGCCAGCCATGGTGCCGTCCACCTCCTCTGTCCCTTCAGCTTCCTTCTGCCTCTTTCTCTTTTTGGTGGAGGACAGGAAGGTCCCCTCAGGAGGCTCTGTTTGAGCCACAGGTTCAATGTGCCCCAGATCCTCTTCTGCCTGGAATGTCTCTGCCCCCTTGGACTTCTTCCTCTTCTTGCTGCTGGTGGCAGATGGGACTGGCAGCTCTGCCTCGGGCTCCACTACCTCGGCCTCCATCTCCCCCTGCCCCACATGATGCCTCTTTTTCTTCTTCTTTTTCACATCCATTCCTAGGTTACCCCAGGCTGTTTCCACCTCCAGGATCCCGTGCCTGTTCACAGCCTCCTGAGGGTCTGAGGCTTCTGTGCCCTTTCTCTTCTTTTTCTTCTTCCCTGAAGTGGGTGACCTCAGAGCTGAGGCTGACCCCGGCCCTGTTACGGGAGGGCTGCCTCCAAAGGCAGAGAAGCAAGGCCGCAGACCAGCAGGGATCTGAGGTGGAAGGCTTGTGGGGATCGGCTGCAGGGGGACCCGAGAGATAAGACATTCTGGAGGACCCTCCATGATCCTTAGGCTTCCGTTGGGCGCGGGAGCGCAGGTGAGTCTGCCACCTGCCTCCGATGAAGATGCAAGCAAGGTGGCTTCTCCAGCCTGGGGGCTGCTGGTAAAGACCCGGTATCGGTGCTTCTTGCCATCCAGTTTGCCCTTCACAGTCTTGGAGCCAGACAGAGGCACATGCCGCCCATTGAGGCTGAGGAGAGAAAGGGACAAACAGTGGCTGATCCTTTCCAGGCTGGGTGCAGCTCAGAGCTAGAACCCAAGTGCAAGACCCTGAGCTGTTTCCTGTTTTCAACCAGCCAACCACCTTCTGGGGGCTTGTGGGCCGCCTCCCAGGTACCGGGATTATCTATCCTGTGTAAGTGAGGCTGGCTTAGTACTCCACAGCCCATGCTGGCCTTCAAGTCTACTGTTTTCCTGCCTCAGCCGCCCAAGTGCTGAGATTACATCCAATCCCCACCACTGGCCACTTTTAATCCCAGTACTCAAGAAACTGAGGCTGGGGGATGCTGGTTCTTAGAAACCAGCCTGGGCTACAGAATAAGTCTGTCTCTGTGTCTCTCTCTGTCTCTCTCTCTCTGTGTCTCTCTCTCTCTGTGTCTCTCTCTCTGTCTCTCTCTCTCTCTCTCTCTTTCTTGAGATACGGTTCTCTGTATAGTCCTGGCTGTCCTGGAACTCACTCTGTAGACCAAGCTGGCTTCGAACTCAGAAATCCGCCTGCCTCTGCCTCCCAAGTGCTGGGATTAAAGGCGTGTGCCACCACTGCCGGGCGAGACTGTTTCAAAACAACCCAAACCAGCATTTCCGGGTTGCTCAGAAATGCCATCTAGCCTGGTGGTGGCAACTCGCCTTTAATCCCAGCAGTCTGGAGGCAGGGGCAGGCAGGTATCTCTGAGTTCGAGGCCAGCTTGCTCTGCCGAGCGAGTTCCAGGCCAGACAGGGCTACACAGAGAAACCCTGTCTCGAATTTTCAAAAAGAGCGGTCTAACGTTCTGGTTCACTGACTACGGTGAGTTCAGCCCCTGGAGGGTTCAGCCTCTAGGAGGTGGGGGAATCCTCCCAGGAGGTGGCCTGGAATCGACCACTCACCACTGTGGGGCGAAGTCTGCAGGGGCTCGGATAAGCCACAGTTCTGTATCTGGACCTGTAAGCGCCTCCAAGGAGAAACGAGGGGGATCCGAGTCTGGAGACATCTCCGTGAAGTGGGGAGGGCAGGAGAACCGAGTGGCACCTGAGAGGAGACAGTCGGGGGACCCTTTTGACATGGCCAACCTCTCAAAAGTGCCCGTAGGTCCCTCACTCGCCTGCTCCACGGGGGGCAACCTCGCAGCCCTCCCCAACCCCTTCTGCACCCAGGCCCTCCCGGATGCCCTTCCTCTCTAACCAGTTCAGGCTCCACTCACCGCAGGCCGGAGTACCCTCCATCCCAACTCTGGAGGAGCCCACGCAGGACCTGCGCGGAAGGCTGCCCACCACGTGGACCCCAGGGGTGGAGCCGCACCCGGAAGCATCCAAGTAGCGTAGGAGAGCCGGGTCGTGGCTCGGCGCTGTCACTATTTGCAGAATCCGGCTAACCCCCACTCTTAAAGCTTACACAGCATAGGAGTGATTAATTTCGTAAGAATGCCCTGAAGGTGGAAATCAAGTCCCTGTTTGTCAGAAACGCAAGCTAGCTCGGATCTTGGAGTGTCTGCTCCCCCGACAGCTTTCTCACGTGGTTTCTTCCAACACTGTCTTAAAGGGGCAGTGACCCACATAGGCCACGGCTTTTAAAGTGACAGAAGATCGATTGTAGAGCGTTCCTGTGAAAGCTAGGTAAGAATTCTGGTTGTCACGATTGTGCTTTCAAAGCTAGAGTGTGTCTTCAGAAGCCCCTGGTGCGGCGAAACTGGAAGGTTTGACTGAACCAGGTCGGAAAATAGAGAAAAGCGGACAAGCGGAGCGTTTATGTACCAATCAGAGGCGGAGCTTCTGAAGTCTAGGGGAAGCGGGAAACCGAGGGGGAGGAGTCCTCAGGGTCGGAGGAGGAGCCTCGGACCCCGAGCCCCAGATCCTGGCTTCAAGCCGGGTGAGGGTTAGTGTCGGGTGAGACTCGTAGGTGCCCTCCTGGACTTAGTGTCCTGAATGGGAAGTATTCCCCACGGCTCCGAGGCAGGTAGAGGTGCAGCTGCCCTTCCTGCTCCGCGGCCCAAGTAAACAGCGGCACGTGGACGTGGGATTTGGGGGACGTGCCCACGCCCCTTCCCAGCAGGACTACAACGCGTGGGGTGGCGGGTGGAGCCGCGGGACGGTGGCGAGACAGGGTGACTCGACTGCATTCCTGGCCGGTGTGTCAGCGTCGCGGCCCGCCCCCTCTGCGGAGATTTTGGCGACTCCTCCAGAATTGGAGTGCTCCCCCCTTCTTCTGAGGCTTTTGAGAATAGAGGGAACCAAGGCTACGAAGGAGTGTTCCTTCCACGAGAGATCTCCAGACTATGTGTTCCCCCCGCGCACGGTCGAGAAACTCTGGGGCTCGCCCTTTGTGGGCTTCAAGACTCCAATTCCCAGATGACTCGAAGGTGGCTGGCGAGGGACGTCGGTCAGGAGTGCTGCTGGGGATTGTAGTCCAGCTTGTTGCTAGGCACGCCAGTAAATCGCCAATGCTGTGATATATTGTTTTGTTTTTGAGACAGTGTCTCGTTATATAGTCCAGGCTGGCTTGGAACTCGCTGTGTAGACCAGGATGGCCTTGAGCTCGCAGAGGTGCGCCTGTCTCTGCCTCCTAAGTGCTAGGATTAGAGGCCCCTTACTTTTGTTTTTTGTTTTATCTAGACAGATAACCCGAGGCTTGGAATCCTGCTTAAGGTGGGTCCTTTTCTCGCCACCGTATTGGTCGTGTTAATTTCTCCGCGCCTCCAATCTCCTCGTTAAGTATTCAAATCTTCACTCAGGCAAGGGAAAAAGTGGGAAAGGGCTCAAGAGTTCTTCCCCTGTACCCATAGTGAGCTGAGAATCTAAACTCTTGTGCATTTCGCCGTCCAGGACGCCCACGATCTTCTGTACTTCGCTCTGGCTGACTTGTCAAATAGATCGCGTCTGACTCCAAATGGAAATGTCTCTGCCTGCGCCCTGCCCATTCCGGACTACAAATCCCAAGGTGCTCCAGGAAACCGCAGCTCCCCCTCCTCTGTGGGACACGCCTCCCTCCAGTCAGAGTCACGTCGTCTAACCTGTTCCCTGGCGACTACCCCGCCCCGTCCTCCGCTCCCCGCCGCTGGAGCCGGAGCCAGAGCCGGAGCCCGAGGAAAAGACCCCCGGTGCCAGGATCTGCCCCGACGCGTGAGTTCCACCCCCCACCCAGGGTCCAGCCACCCCGGAACCCGACACCGCGTCCCTGGGAGGACTTGATGAAAACTCGGACCTTAGGTACAGGGGAATAGTGTGGGGAGCTCACGCCTGGATCCCTGGAAAGAAGGAACTGGGGTGCCGATTTTACTCGGCAGATGGATGGGGACTTGGACGCCTGCGATCTTAGTGGTCTTTGGAGTCCTTGGTCCTGGAGAGTTATTGGAGCTGCAATTTTTGAATACTTTAATTGGGAACTCTTGGAAGTGTCTTAGGGTGCTGTTAGGGTCTCCGGACTCTGAATTTTGGGTAGATGTGGGGGATCAGGACGTTCTAGAATGGTCGGGCGCACGGCCACCCTCCAGCAGCCTTCAACACCGAACCACTAGGTCTTTGAGTAAAATTAGTGGCACTGGAATAGTGGATCCTAGACTTTGAAAAGAATGGGACAAGCACGAGGGGCGTGGGTTTCTCAGGAGCTTGTGTTCCAGCGCTACACCCCTCTTTCTGGTTTTGGGATGGGGGCAGGGAGTGAGAAACAGGGGCAGCTCTCCAACCTCTTCTGTGCCGCTGAGCGAACCCCAACATGTTATTAACTGGGGCATCAGACCTGCCTAACCAGAGGAGGCACATCCGCCCAAGAGCGCCCCCTAGCGGAAACGGGAGTCGGACCTCTTATTGCCCCACGGGGTGGGAAATAGGTGGGGTTTGCTGAGGTCATTCTGGAGCCCAGGGCAGAATAACAGGACCGCGGTGCTGGATCTGGGAGGCTCCCGTGGTCCTGTTCTGCTGTGTTACAGAGAATGGAAGTGGTAAACTGAGGCTGGTGGGCCATACAGGCAGTTGAATTTGACATCTCCTTCACTCTTGTGACAGCTGTCTGTGGAAGGAATTCCTTTACTCCCACCAGATTTTCTAATTAACGTTCTTCCTCCAGTGTGGGGTTCCTTGTGACCCAGAGGTGAGACATGTCGCCTCCACTTCCATCTGTCTGACCTGAGGTATTGTGGGAGATAAGGGAGGGAGAGAGGCTAATTCTGGAGGTGTCTGTCTGTCCTTGAGCCAGGGAGAGGGCAGGGGCGGGCAGGCACCTCCCTCTGTCTCTCCACCTCTGGGATGTAGGGGGATTCCAAAGCTGGTGGGGGACAAGGATCTGGAGAGGGAGGGTGTTAGCGAGCGCCTGGGCTGGAGTGACAGGCATGAAATGAAGCTGAGCAATAATAGCCACAGCTGCCAACACAGGCTGTGGCCTGCCAGGCTCAGGTCAGGATGGACTTCTCCGTCCACCCAGGCATTTGGCAATCACCCAAAGGTAGGAACAGCGAGTTCCACCTTCAGTGGAGTTCGTTGACTCCCTAGAGGGCTCCTCCCTAGCAATGGGGAAACTGAGGCTGGTCCTGGGAACTTGCCAGTTTCTATCTGGAACCTTTCGGGGCCCCTCTCCTCATGTAGCCCCCACGTTCCTGGGGATAGTCACTGTTGCTCACGGCTGGGAACTTTAAGGTCCTGTGGTCCAGAGGTTCAGGCAGTTGAGACCACTGGCAACAGAAGGAAGGGACTGGCGTGAGGCTCAGCCGGTAGAGTGCTCACCTAGCATGAAGGAGGCCCAGATTCAGTCCCTGACACTGCATAAAAAAGACTGTCAGGGTACATGTCAGTATTTCTAGCACTAGGAAGGTGGAAGCAAATGGAGAGAGAGAGAGAGAGAGAGAGAGAGAGAGAGAGAGAGAGAGAGAGCAGCTCCGTCGTGGCAGCAACCCATGCCTTTAATCCCAGCACTCAGGAAGCAGAGGCATAGTGAGTTTCAGACGAGCCACAGAGATATAAACCAACCAACCAAGAAACCTCACAAAAAATAAGACACTGGGTTTCTACCCCTCACTCTGAACCTGCATATGCGGTCGATCGATGCCCCAGGCCTCAGGGCCTAAGCTCAAGCCTTGCTCTAGCCGCTATTGCTGGGAGCTAGCCACATAAGCACGCTATTGCTGGGAGCTAAAATTCAGCTCTTGTTCATTTGAGACAGTGTCACTTATGTGGCCCAGGGTGGCTTCGAACTAGGGACCCTACTACCTCAGAGCACTGGGATTGCAGAGACTTATCTGTGTCACCCTAGAGGACTCCTCTTGGAAGAAGGCTGGTAGGGTAACAGTCCAGGATGCATGATGTTGGGTCCTTTTTTTTTTTTTCTTCAGGTTTTCGAGACAGGGTTTTTCTGTGACTTTGGGTCCTTGAATTGCATTGTTGTAAACACTGTATATTTTAGGTCCTCCAATGCCTACACCTCATTAGGTGAAGTCATTAATTCCCCCGACAGTACAGGTGAGAAAACGGAGGGGCAGAGAAGCCCTCCCAGTAGCTAGCTCAAGGCAGAAGCTTAGCTAGGGGAAGTCCCACGTCGGTTCCACCGATTTAAAAAATCAAGTCTGACCCGGCTAGAGCGAAAGATTGCACTCTGGGTGTTCCCAAACCATCTCGACACCCTGACCTGGATCCCACTGACTTCTCCAGGGAGCCCAAACAGGATCCTTCACCTCTGGGAACCGGGCTGGAAGGCAGAGGAGGCCGGGCAAGGAGACCTAAGGGTGGAGCACAGATGGGAGGCAGATGAAGGGAGAGTTAGAGTTGGAGGAGGCCCAAGGAAGAAGACCTGAGGGTGGAGGGCAGGGACCGAAGCCTGGGAACAGAGACTCCGCCACACCTTCCCGGCCGGCTGCGCACCCCTGCCGGGGAAGCTGTGCACCTGCCCAGGCCCGCCTCGCATTCCCAGGGCCTGAGCTCAGTCGTCCAGCTCGCGGGGAGCGCGCGTCCCCTGGCGGTCAAGGCGTTTCTAACACCCACACTAGCCTTGGAACAGTAGAGTGAACACTAGCCTCTGAAACCGAAGAAGAGTCTTACCTATTTGATCATGGTACAGTTGCCAAAAGATCTGTTTCCTGTCATATGCTGGGGGCGGGATTTCAGACCTCTGGAAGAACAGCAAGGGCTCTTAGCTGCTGAGCTATTTCTTAGCCCTTGTTCTGCGCACATGGGTGTCTACAGAGGTCGAAAGCTTCAGCTGGAGCTGGTACATGAAACTGTGAGCCAGCCATTGGATACGGATGCTGAGAGCATCTGCTCCTCCACGCTCTAAATGGCGGAGACATCTCTTCAGCAGAGGGATCAGGTCTTTCTGTGTAGGTCTAGCTGGCTCCAACATATGAAGCAATCAAGCCTGGGGCTGTCTTCAGACCTCTCTGCCTTTGAAAACTGGGATTAGAGGCGTGTACCACCATGCCCAGGCCTTTAAAAAAATAAAAAAAAACTTGTATTTAGTGATAGGGTTGCCTAAGTTGCCCCTTCAATGTACTCTGCTGCACCAA